TGGGGAAAATAAAAACAATTTGAGAATACAAATTAAGTAAATTCCAAAGTGTATTCAGAATTGTTTCAAATCCATAAGGTGGCTGTAAACAGTTTATTTCTAAATGTTCATAGCTTAAAGGAATGTGAGTATCACAGTTTGTATTAGCTCTGTCTAGGAAGTCCAGCAGCACTACACAGTTTCATGTTTCCATAATCCAGTCCTAATGCTACCAGTGATATCAGTACCTATCAAGGGTCCTTCCTGTCCACTGCTTTTAATTGGTCCATTGTGAATGGCCAAGTTCAGGCCATAAGATTTTTGCTGACTTTCAAGTTCTCCTGCAGGTGGCTTCCTGACCACGTCTTTTTTACTGCTAGTCGAAACAGGCTTTTCAAAATTGTGCCTGCTTTTGGGAAGTGTGCTGCACGCATCACTGCTGTCTTGCTGGGGCGGGTTGTACTGTCTCTCTGTAGGCCAAATAAGCTCTCCGACTCCTCGAATGTCTTTCATTATTGCCGGGCCGGCTTTTAGGTAAGCCGTTCTGCACGTTTCCTTCCATGCTGGTCAGGACATCATAGTTGTATTCCCTCAGGACTGTGAGCCTGCTAGCCCGGTGTCCTTCGATTTTTATGGTGGAGGCTCAGGTGCACATTTGTGCAAAACCACGTCTAAAGGAGCCACATGCATCTTAATATCGTTGTCCACCAAATGTTCTGTGAGAGACAGGGCCCCGGCCTGGCGCTGACAGCCTGCAGGTCTGTGAGCTTGCAGCCCTGGGAAGAATTCTTGAAGCTCGACACACTTTTGTTTGTGCAAGAAGACTCCGCACTGTTGTTCGTGCACTTGGGTGCCTCTCTGTTCGTCCCGCTTGAGTCGAGGGGGCTGGACGTTGACCTGCACCGAATACGGGCTGTGTCCTGGGCTGCACGTCATGATCCACACAAGTCTCACATCCTCCCTATTGATGTAATGGTGCACCATGATGAATGCACTGAACCCTCTGGACTTGCTTTGTTGTTTTTTTCCTTTTTTCTTTTTGGTCTTTTTGAAATGGTCCCCATGGAGCTCAGTATGTAGACCAGGCTGGCCTGGAACTCAGAGATCTGCCTTTCTTTGCCTCCCAAGTGCTCAGATCAAAGATGTGCACCACCACGCCCATCCTTGTTTTTAATCTTTTTGAAAAGATTTATATTTTATATTTTTTATATATTTGTATGTGTATCACATGCATGCAGTGCCCAGAGAGGTCAGAAGAGGGCATTAATCCCCTTAAAATGGAGGTATAGATGGTTGTAAGCTACCATGAGGTTAGTGGCAACTGAACCATGATCCTCTGGGAGACCAGCAAGTTCTGTTAGCTGCCGAGCCATCTCTCCAGCCGTTTCTCTGTTTTGAGACAGTTTTGAGACAGTTTTGAGACTATGTATCCCACAGTACTTTATTCACTACGTAATTGAGCATGACTTCGAACTCCTGATCATCCTGCCTCTGCCTTCTAAGTGTTAAGGTGAGATTATAGGCCAGGCCAGTATGCTAAATGTGTCTTATTTTGATGCTTTTTTTGAGAAAGGCCAGCCCGTCCTGGCCTCACTGTTGAGGCAGGCCTCAAACTTTTTAGCAGTCTTTCTACTCAGTAGCAGGGATTTTAATTTTGCACCAACAGGCTTGGCTCTGTTGCCAGTGCTTTTGATGTGATATCTAAGAATTCATAACCAAATACAAAGTCATGAAAATTTCCTCTAAAGAGTTTTATAGTTTTGGGGCTGGAGAGATGGCTCAGCGGTTAAGGATACTGGTTGTTGTTGCAGAAGACCTGGGTTTGAATCCCAGCACCTACATGGCAACTAACAACTGTTACTCCAGTTTCAGGGGATCCAGTGGCCTCATCTGTCCTCTGCCAGGCATTGCTCAACACAGGTGCACTTACCTACGTGCAGGCAATACACTCATACACATAAAATAAAAATAATAAAAAATTTAAAAGTTTTATAGTTTTAAGATTTATTTTTATTTTATGTGTATGAGTGTAATGCCTGTATGTATGTAACTACACCCATGTTGTGCAGTGCCCACAGAGGTCAGAAGAGAACAGCAGATCCCCTGGAACTGGAGTTATGGATGATTGTTAGCTGCCATGTAGGTGCTGGGAATCAAACCTGGGTCTTCCACAAGAGTAGTCAGTGCTCTTAACTGCTAAGCCATCTCTTCAGCCCCTTGGTCTGTTTTGAGTTGAGTTTATATTTCATAAGAGGTAGGATTTGCCCTTCTTTGTATGTGAATATTCATTTTATTAAGGGAGTTGGGAACTGAACTCTAATCTTCTGCAAGAGTAGTAAAGACTCTTAGGTGCTGAGCTTTCTCTCTAGCCCAAATGTTTTATTCTTTTCCATGATACTATAAGTGGGCCCATTCTCTTAATTTCCCATTTGGATTGTTAGTGCTACTTTATATAAAAATAAATGAGGAGCTGGAGAGATGGCTCAGCATTTAAGAGCGCTAGCTGCTCTTCCAGAGGACTTGGGTTCAGTTCCTAACACCCACATGGCTACTAACAATTGCCCAAAACTCCAGTTCCAGGGGATCTGACATCCTCTTCTGTGGGCATTGTATGACATGGGTGTACTTACATACATGTAAGCAAACACTCATACATAAAAAATAAAAATGAAAAATATTTTTTAAAAAATGCCAGGCGTGGTGGCACATGCCTTTAATCCCAGCGCTTGGGAGGCAGAGGCAAGCAGATCTTTGTGAGTTCAAGGCCAGGTTGGTCTACATAGTGAGTTCCGGGACAGCTGGGGCTACAGGGAGACCCTGTCTCAAAAAGACAAAAAAAATAATTGTTTTAAAAAGAAAAAAAAAAATCATTTCACATGTTGCTTGTATTTCTCACAACTTTTCTAGGTTTACTTAAAGCTCTAGCTACTAGTTTATCGTGCATGTCTACCCTGTTACCTGCAAGTAGAGATAGTTTTACTTCCTTCCTGGGAGAACGCTGTGTATTTTTCTCTTTCTTGGTGGTTCTGGTCTGGACTCCAGTACAGTATTGAGTAAGAGTGGCACAAACTGTCATCCTTGTTTCTTTCTGATCCCAGGGAAAGATACTTTTTTTTAAAACCATGCATTGTATATGTATGAATATATTTATTGATGTGTATGCAGATGTATACAACTTAACTATGTATTTAGTAACAGATTTTTGTGAATATTAAAATACTCTGTTTTCGTACCAGTAACTGGTATTGTTAGTTGAGTTTAATAGGGTAAAAAAGGGCCGGGCGTGGTGGCACACGCCTTTAGTCCCAGCACTAGAGAGGCAGAGGCAGGCAGATCGCTGTGAGTTCAAGGGCAGCCTGGTCTACCCTGGTCTACATAGTGAGTTCCAGGACAGCTGGGGCTATAGGGAGACCCTGTCTCAAAAAGACCAAAAGGAAAAAAAAAAGAAAAAAGGATTAGGGGGTAGTACTATGACACAGTGTTTTCTTTGCGTGCACCAGCCCTGGGTTCAATTCCTAACACTGCAAAAAGGGGGAAAAAGTATTACCCACAGCACAACTAATCTGACAAGTGAAATCATAAATTGCCTTTGAAAAGACCTCATTAAAATGCGTACTGAGGTGATGTGTACTCGTTAATTGGCTAGAATAATTTGAGTGGAAATAATTTTCTCTGGCTTTTATGTAGCCAGAAATACAGGAAGTTGTGATAACTATGGCTAAATGCCTTAGAAATACTAAATGTTGGAGCTGTAGCAATAGCTCTGTGGTTAAGTGCACTTGTTGCTCTTCCAGGGGATCAGAGGTCAGTTTCTAGCTCCAGGGGATCCACCATACTCTTCTGGTCTTTGTGGGCACCTACATGCATGTGTGCATACACATAAAATAAAATAAATCTTTTTTTCTTTGGTCTTTTTGAGACAGGCTCTCCCTGTAGCCCCAGCTGTCCTGGAACTCACTATATAGACCAGGCTGGCCTCGAATTCACAGAGATCCGCCTGCCTCTGCCTCCTGAGTGCTGGGATTAATGGCGTGCACCACTACACCCAACTTTATTTATTTTCATTTTATGTGCATGAGTGTATTGCCTGCATGTATGTAAGTGCACCCGTGTCATGCAATGCTGGCAGAGGACAGAAGAGGCTGTCAGATCCTGTGGGACTGGAGTTACAGACAGTTGTTAGCTGCCATGTGGATGCTGGGATTCGAACCCAGGTCTTCTTCAGGAACAACCAGTGTTCTTAACCACTGCACTATCTCACCAGCCCCCACAGATAGGTTCTTAAGTTTGCGTTTGTACTGTTCAGGAAATAATGCTGCAAGTAGAGGGAAAAAGAAACCGAATAAGAGCACATTTGCAGGTTCCTGGCTACATTGGGAAAGTACGCATTCAAACCAGTTTTCATTACCTTAGTTTCAGCAACTGAGTAAAGGGTTCTTATTCTTGAATTTTATTTTTTTTTTCCCTCCTGAGACAGGGTCCCCCTGTAGTCCCATTTGGCCTGGAACTCTGTGTAGACCAGGCTGGCCTTGATGCCTCAGGAGTTCTGGAATTAAAGGCCTGCGCCACCACGCCCCGCTAGATTTAATAATTTTCATTTCATTTTTAAAATTTAATTTTATGTGTATGTGTACCAAGTGCGTGCAAGGGTGCTTCAGAGGTCAGAAGAGGTTGGAACTTGAGGTACAGGCTTTTGTGAGCTGCTACGTGGGTGCTGGAAACTGAATCCAGGTCTTCTATGAGGAGTAAGTGCTCTTAGCCACTGAACCATCTCTAGCCCTGGGTTCTTATTTTTAATATTCTTCTTTTTTAAAAATTTTTATTAAGTGTTAAGGATAATATCAGTTTACACGAAGGTGACTTTAATTTGAATCCTGAGAGTTTAACACATATCCTTAAAGTTTGGAAGCTGAGCATAATGGACAGTTTTTAAAATGCAAAAATGAAGGGAAAATTGTTTCTTACCATATTTTCTAAGCTTGGATTTTTTTTTTTAACCATCTATTTCTTTTATTTTTTAGTACTTGTTTGAAAATGGTAGAATAGATAACATTTTTACTGAGCCCTACTCCAGATTTATGATTGAACTTACCAAACTCTTGAAAATATGGGAGCCTACAATACTTCCTAATGGTAAGGAGATTATTTTTATTTTATTGTATGTTAAAAATGTTCATGTATTGCAATATAGTCCTAATGTAATGTAGTTGAGCTTCTGAGAAGAAAGTCTTGGATTTATTGTTGAATGTTTTAATAAAAGTGCAACTCTGAACAGTTGCAGAATGAAGCTAAGAAAATTGCACTTATAGGTACAAATTATTGAAAATAATAAATTCAGGTTATACTTCTGTTTTTAGAAACTTTTTTATCTGGTAATGTCAGTAAAGGTGTTGTATAGCATCAGTAGTTGCCACATGTTTACCCATGAGCAGGTGCTCTTTTTCAGTAGTGTATGTATCTGCTGAAGTAGTTAAGAGTTATGCTCTCATTCTTGAATGACCTTTATGACCCACTGTCATTTGAGAAGCCTGTGACTTCACTTGGGCTCTTAGGCTGGGACTGGAGAAGCTCAGTGTTACACTCAGCAGTTTGTCCTTTCTCTTGGGTTCTAGAATACTTTGGGAGTATTCTGAACCACAGACTGGTTTGATGCATTTAACATTCAGAGATTTGAAAGTAATGAAGTCATGTTCAAGAATCTCTCAAGAATACATTGCAGAAGCAATAACAGATAAGATTAAAGAGAGATCATGGGTCAGACCTGAAATTAAATTTTTTAAGACCTCAACTTTTCCAGAAAAATTCCAAATAAGTTAACCAAGAAGTAATCCCTGTTAATATAAATTAAAAGTAAGAGAGAGAGAGCATGTAAGGGAAGGGACCAGCCGCTCCCTAGTGACTGGCCAAATAACATTGAACTGGCTAATGGTAAGCTTATGCCATGGACCAAATCTGGCCTGTTCCTGTTTTTGCAGTATATGAATGAAAAATATTGTTTGTATCTTTAAAGGGTTGGAAAATTTTAAAGAGTTCCTCTTTTACGGTATGACAATGGTATGAAAATCAAAGTTGTTCAGAGCCTGTAGAGCCCAAGTGACGCTTTTCCGGAAAGGCAGTGCTGGGGTCTGCCTCCCTGGAGCGTCTGCCCTTTTCTCTGTGCTGCCACTTCTGTAAGAAAGAGAGCAGTGATTGATGAGTGTTTCTTTACCATATTCCTGCTCTAAAATTTGAGAGGTTGACATAGTACTTACTGTCTTCTCCCCCGTCCTGTCTAGGTTATATGTTCTCTCGCATTGAAGAGGAGCATTTGTGGGAGTGCAAACAGCTGGGCGCTTACTCGCCAATCGTCCTGTTAAACACCCTTCTGTTTTTTAATACCAAATACTTTCAACTAAAGAATGTCACTGAACACTTGAAGCTTTCCTTTGCCCACGTGATGAGACGGACCAGAACTCTGAAGTACAGTACCAAGATGACCTACCTGAGGTTCTTCCCAGTGTCACAGAAGCAGGAGTCAGAACCAGGTGTGCTGCTGGTACATGAGGATTCTGTTTGAAGCCTCCTACGGAAGCACCTATCACAGAGGAACTTAAATTCTAGCTGGAGATGGCAATGCACACCTTTAATCTCAGCACTGGGGAGGCAGGCGCAGGTGGAGCTCTGAGATTGAGGCCAGCCTGGTCAATATAGTGAGTTCAGGCCAGCTGGGGCTCCAGGAGACACTTTCTTTAAAAAAAAAAAAAGAGAGAAAAGAAAAGAAATAGGGACTGGAGAGATGGCTCAGTGGTTAAGAACACTGGCTTTTCTTGCAGAAGATCTGGGTTCGAATCCCAGCACCCACAAGGCAGCTAACAATTGTCCATAACTCCAGTTCCAGGGTATCTGACAGCCTCTTCTGTCCTCCGTGGGCATTGCACGACATGGGTGCACTTACCTACATGCAGGCAGCGCACACATACACATGAAATAAAAATGATAAAATATTAAAAAAAGAAATAAAATGCGGGGCATGGTGGCGATGCCTTTAATCCCAGCACTAGGAGGCAGAGACAGGCAGATATCTGTGAGTTCCAGGTCAGCTGGAGCTACAGGGAGACCCTGTCTCAAAAAAGAAAAAAAAAGGTAAAATTCTAGACATAAGGAAGACATATGCAGCTTCCTCTTACCATTAAATATTTTTCTCTGTTGTCAGGTAGGTTATAAGCTTGTCTCAAAAATCACAGGACTGTTTGTTTTGTTGTTGTTTTTTGCTTGTTTTTAGACAGAGTCTCACTATGTTGCCCTGACTGACCTGGAACTTGAATATAAACCAGGCTGGTATGGAACACAGTGAGACTGGCCTGCCTCTGCCTCCCAGTACTTAGATTAAAGGCCTAAGTCACCATACCCAGCTCCAGTATACAAGTTTGGCTTTTCAATTAGAAGTTGTGATTTAGTTTGGTAGAAGCCTCTGATTTAACCAGGTAGAACCCAAATAATGCACATTTAAAATATGGCAATTGAACTCACTGATTTACAGGTACTAGGTAAGCCAATTGCCAGTTAAAAGAATCGGCTTATCTTTTAATTTGTTGTTGCTTAGTCTTTTTTTTTTTTTTTTTCAAACAAAACATTTTTTTAAAGTTAGCATTCTTTAGCTAGTACTGAAATTGTGAAGGAACTTAAAGCTGGCGTAAGGTAGACTGCTTTTAGTAGGCTCAGGTCACAAGTGACCGTTTAGTAGATGGATTATGATTGTGTGTTTCAGAAACAGCCTATTAAACAGTAGTTCTTAATGTCTGAAAATAATAACTGATAATGTAGAACTAGAAATTGAATTTTTGTATGTGTTTGGTTTTGGTCTTTTTAAAAAAAAACTCGTGTGTGTGTGTGTGTGTGTGTGTGTGTGTGTATTGCCCGCACGTGTGTTAGTACACCCTTGTCATGCAGTGCCTTTGGAGGACAGAAGAGGGTGTCAGATTCCCTTGGAACTGGAGTTATGGATGGTTATTAGCTGCCATGTGGGGTGCTGGAAATCGATCCCAGGTCCCCTGCAAGAGCAGCCAATGCTCTTAACTGCTGAGCCATCTCTCCAGCTCCTGGTTTTGGTGTTTTTGAGACTTGTCTTACTCTATAATAGCTCAGGCTAAGCTCAAATTCCTAATCCTCTTGAATGGTGGGATTGCAGACATGTACCACCATACCTAAAAGGAGAATTTCTTGTGGCACAGGCATGCATACCTGCACACAGTCATATATATCCCATATACATGCTCACAAATATACATGTATGTAAGTGCACGTGCGTCATGCAATGCCTGCAGAGGCCATAAGAAGGTGTCGGATCCCCTGGAACTTGAGTCTCAGATGGTTGTTAGCCACCAAGTGGGTGCTGTAGCCCTAGCTGACATGGAACTTGCTATGTAGACTAGGCTGGCCTTGAAATCACAGAGATCCACCTGCCTCTGCCTGTGCTGGGATTAAAGGCATGCACCATCATGCCCAGCTAGAAATTTCTTAATTTTTTTCAATCTTATCTAAATTGAGTTACTATTTTTAAGACAAAAATGAATATTTTGAATGTGAAAACTTAACATTTCTGACACTAAAATCTGCATAGTTGTGGTGTTGAGGCTGCATACCAGCTTACCTTCAGTGGGTCCATTCGCTTTCAAGGTAGTACGATCATTTGCTTTTTCACGTAGAGTCTGTCTTGTTAACTTGGTTTTATTTATATGTAGTCCACTTTGTTTTTTGTAGGTCTTTGTTTTGGTTTCCTTTTTCTTTGGTTGGGTGATTCTCTTTGGGTTTTTTTTTATTTGTTGGTTTGTTTTATGAGACAGGGTCTCACTCTGTAGCCCAGGCTGTTTTATAAAGCCTGAGCTGGCCTCAATTTTGAGGTAAATCTCCTACTTCAGCTTTCTGAGTGCTGGCCTGTGTTACCACTTGCAGCTCTACCTGTGCTCTTAGTGGTGTTAATTGGAGGAGGGAGAAGCAATCAGGTAATATTTTTACTTTTGATTAGGTGCTTTACAAGGTTGGAATAAGTTCATCTTGTATTCTGAGTAACTTGTGAAGCATTTCTGTGTAAGAATCTTCTATACATAGAATTGGAGTGAGCTTTGTTAAAGTAATAATGTAGATAGCTAGGGCAAATCCTAAACCATTTGTTAAGAGTGGCTATAAAAATGGGCGGGATCTGGATTTGAGTGGGAAATGACATATGAAATTTAAAAAGCTCAATAAAAAATGTTTATTTTTTAAAAAAAGGGGTGCTGGAGAGATGGTTCACTTGAAGTGCCTGTTGAGCAAGCATGAAGACCTGAGTTTGGATCCCCAGCACCCTTCTAAAGCTGGAAGTGATGGTGTAAAACCCTAGCATTGAGGGAGCAGAGAGAAGCAAGTCCCTGGAGCTTGGTGGCCAGCCAGTCTAGCATATTCAAGCTCCAGGTTTAGTGAGAGCCTGTTTCAAAAAATAAAGTAGTGCCCTGAAACTCGCTATGTAGACTAAGCTGGCCTAGATTTTACATAGATTTGTATGCCTTTGTCTCCTGAGTGCCAGGATTAAAGACGTTCACCACCATGCCCAGCCCAGGACAACTCTTAAATCATCCTCAAGAACACATGGTACCCTTTTTGCTGTGGTTTGTGAGCCTTGCGCCTAATCCTTTTTTTAGGAAAGCCAGGCTCCAGGTGGAAGAATACCTGTAGTACTGTCCTTGCTGCTGTGTGACTCCTCTTTGTTGATCAGAGGATATAACTTACTGGGCAAGCACTACGTTTTGTTTAATATACAAACAGAATGCTGGTGCCCTGATCAGACCTCAGTAAACATTTGTTGAAAGGGCAGAAATGACAGTCTTTGGTTATGAAGTAAAGCTCACTGTGAAGAAGGCTTCTCTAATAGAAACTTTTGATTATTTCCTGTCTTAAGATAAACTAACCATTGGCAAGAGGAAACGAAATGAAGATGATGAGGTTCCAGTGGGTGTGGAGATGGCAGAGAATACTGACAACCCACTGAGATGCCCTGTCCGACTGTATGAATTTTACCTGTCAAAATGGTAAGGGAGTCTTCTGTGTGTGGATGCTGAGTGCTTCATGGCCCAGTCAGCTTAGTCTTCATTCCAGGTGTTAGACACCAGAAACATGATTGGCCTATGACACGGGGTTTATTTACCTTTAACCTCATGTTTTCTCCATTCTTCTGTCTACCTAAATTTGGAACCAAGAAACAAGTCATCACTATTTTCCTCCAAAATTTATTTGATTGATTGATTGATTGGTTTTGAGACAAGGTCTCTCTGAAGCCCCAGCTGCAAAACACATCTTAAAAGTCACACCTCTCTTTCTATTATACATAATCTATAGGGATTTATGTTTTGTTTAGAAAAGTTCTTACCATGCCCAGTTCCACTTTGTAATAACATGCCTACTTCCAATCCATTGTGATTTTTCCAGCTTTTAGAGAAGGTATGGAGTTAAAGGTAGATCCTGAGAGGAAAATGCCCATAAACCTTTTTTTTTTTTTTTTGCCCATAAACTTATTTATCCTGTGGTTATATTGCTTATTTATCATGTGTATCATAGTGGGGAATGTTGAGAGCCATTATATAAAAGAATAGTTTATATTTTCTGTACTCTCTGATCCCAGCTTTCTTTTTTTCTCTTTTGTTTGTTGATTCCCCATGGATAGTTCTGAGAGTGTGAAGCAGAGGAATGACGTATTCTACCTTCAGCCTGAGCGCTCCTGTGTTCCAAACAGCCCCATGTGGTACTCCACATTCCCGATAGACCCTGGTACCCTGGACACCATGTTGACACGTATTCTCATGGTGAGGGAGGTACATGAAGAACTTGCCAAAGCTAAATCTGAAGACTCTGATGTTGAATTATCAGATTAAGATGGAAGTGAGGTTCCTATTTTCATATGCATTTGTATGCACCAAACTGTGAACACATCCAGCTGTTGGAAGGAGATATCTAAATCCAAGTCCTGTTGACTTGATTATGAGACAGTGAAAACCAGTGTGGATGTGCAAGCTGAAGGAAGGACTGTGAGCTGAGAAATGTCATTTGGCAGTGATAGAGTCCATAGACATCTTCCAATGACTAACCAGTTTCTGCGTGGTGCATAATCTTATTTTGTTTGGGAATAACAAATTGTGGAATATTTTTCAGGAAAACCGTTGTGTAAAACTCTACCATAGTAACCTTAGACCTTAGAGGGGTAGCTTTGGAGTGAGACCCTGGCTGCCACAGGCAAGTTGAGCAAGCCCTCCCTGAAAGCCAGGGGAGAAATCAGTACAGAGCTGAGAGAGAGAGCAGATGAGGACAGTGGGACCCAGCCTTGAAGATCCCATAAAACTACTCAAGTCTGGTGGGGTTTTTTGTTTTACAGATAGTGGTCTTGATTGGTTTTTTCACTGCCACCTCAATTATGTGGAAGTTAAAAGCTTTGGTACTTGTACCACAGACCCCTCCTATCAGAGGAAATGACCTCCACTACTGTTAACCAGTAGTGTGTCACTTTCCCTTTCCTGGTTCTTGCTGCCTCGGCAGTGGGTCTGGATATGGGTAAATTAGGATAAAGAGAATTATATTCCACAAGGAAGTTAGGCACACAGAAAATCTGTGGAGCCCATTAGACCCAAGTATCTTGAAATGTTTGTAGAAAATCCACTAAGATGCCTACTTCTCTGGGTGCAGGCCTAAGCCTACACTGTGTCCAGCAGAAGTAGGGTGTCCTTTGGTTTTCAATTTTCCCCCAGTGGCAGCTTTTCTCCCATTGTTTACTTCCTTGTTTCCGGAATGATTCTTCCTGTCTTTTGCACCAGCTTCTGGAGGCCCTTGTCATTTCAAAAGGAAAATCTGTCTCCTGAACTCTGATAAACATGTGGGTAATTCCACAAAGGCACAGTATTACGTAGCTATCCAAATGATAGGAAAGGTCTTAATAGGCTTCCTAAGTAAAGCATTTGGAAGATGACCTTGTTGCTCCAGAGAGCTTGAAAAGAGGATTCTGGCTTAGTGTGCACAGATACTGACCATCTGCATATCAGTGAGCAGGTCTTCTAGCATTATTCCAAACTCTAGCTGTTTTAGTAGTTCTATGAGGCAAGGCATAGACGTGTGTGGAACTATCAGTCTGTCTCCTTCATCTCCATTCTCAGTTCCCCAAAAATTTTGAATCAAGCTTTTAGTGATGTTGGCCAGTTACATAACTTTTTAAATTGAGGTTCATTTGAACCTGTAGTAAAATTTAAAGAAGTCAAAAAGCTTCCAGATCTTTTTCCAAGCAAACCTTGACTTTTCAGTGTGTCCCATATTTTTTTTAAACGAATGAAAGTCATTTAAATACAACAATTTAAAAATGGGCCTTTTGACATTGTGTACTTGCTGGTTCTGTTCCTCTGCTTGTAACGATTCTCATTTTTGTTACAAAGAACTGTGTGAAAGAAGTCAAGTCTGCTGGAGTCTGTGTGATTAATTCCACCTGCGTTTGCCATTTCTGATTGCGAAACTGACTTCCAGACTTCCGTGACTGGTGGAAAAGCAGTTGGATTGTCTGATAAGTCTGCCAATAAACCATCCAGAACCACCAGGTGTTACAGTCCCACTGTATAAATTCTATGATTTGTATAAACACTGAGATTTTCCCCATCTATAGTTGTATGTAAAACAAATACTATTAGTATAGTAAATTGTTAGAAAATACCAGAAAGGGGGAAAAAAAAACCCTGTATCTTTTAAGAGAAAAACCAGTACCCAGATAAGTGACTTCTTGAGCTGCATGCTAGCACAGGGTCGCAAGACCCCCGAGCTGATTCGTAAGAGAACACACTGGTTAATTATTGGTCATTCCTCAGGAGTATAGCTGTTTGTTGTGTCAAATTCTTTACTCTTTTAATTTTAGTAGAATTGTGTGAAGTTACATTTTTTCCCTTAGGAAGAGAAAAAAACAACTAGCAAAAAAATGGGAAAAAAATCTACAAACGGAAACAGCTCTCCTTCATGTTCCTTTGGTCTTTAGTCACATTTAGATTTTTCCCTTTGCAGAAACCGCAGAACTATTCCCTTAGAATAAAACAGTATATTTGTATTTGATGGGCGAATTCTTTTTCTTCATGTCTTGAAAGAATTTTAAATATATTTTTCTATTTGACCTTACTGTTAGAATCCAAAAAATGGAAAATTATAAAGAAAAAGCAGCTTTCAGAGAAGAAGTCATTTGGTTTTTATTCTTTGCAGTAAATGTATTGTCTCACTGCAGAGTCTTTAAGTCGCTTTCTTTTTTTCTGTCAAAAGACTTCTGTTTTTAGGTAAGTTTAAACTATGTTAAAAGTCCTAACAGCTAGAATACCAGGCAGATTTCTTTGGGGTTTCAAAAGATTATATCAGACAGGGGATGTAGCTCAGTGTAGAGCACTTTACCTATTGTGGACAAGGCCCTGGGTTCAAGCCTCCACTTCATATACCCATTGTGATAAATTTTTTTTTAAGTGTATGCATGTTTTGCCTACACTTACATAAGTGCGCCCCATGTGTGCAGTGCCTATGGAGGCCAGAGAGTGTGTCAGATCCCCCGGAACTGGAGTTAGACAATTGTGAAGTACCACGGATGCTGGCAACTAAAACCAGGTCCTCTGCAAGAGTGGAGAGAGCTCTTATCCACTCAGCCATCTCTCTAACCCCAAGACAGAATCTTCTTAAAAAGATGGCATCACTTCAACTGTAGGAAGTTTGAATTGTGATATTCATATAAAGGATATGTTCACTTTTAGGCATAAATGCATATTTATCTAAGTATGACTAGTACTTTTTCTTAATCTCTAGAGGCATCTTGGTGTATCTTAGTATTGTGTATTGTGCCACAAATATACTACCAAATTCCATGTATAACACTTCTGTACACCCCGTGACATTCCTAAGCTTGCAAAAAAAATTTTTATTTCCCCCAGGAAATCTAAAGTTAATACGTATCTTTAAATGAATCTCAGTTTTCTATTAAATGCAGAATTTAGTTTTCCACGAGTACAAAGATCTTTTATGATAAGAATTTGAAAGTTGAGGTGCGCATTAAATACTACTGTCCCTATCCTCTGTACAAGTAGTGTCCACACCATATGTTACCCTCATTGAGAAAATTTTTAGTTGTGAGGCATTGTCACATACTGGGAAGATCATAAACTTTGGAGTCATTTTACTTGTTGATTGTATAGAACCTTGAGTAAATTACAAAACTGCTTTGTCTCAGTTTTCTCCTCTGTGAGGTGAAGACAACAATAACTTTCTCAGTTTGGGGGTTCAAGTGTAACATTTCTGGGACTACAGAGATGTCTGAGTGGTTAATAGCACTGGCGCTCTTGCAGAGGACCTGGGTTTGTTTCCCAGCACCCACATGTGGCTAACAACCATCTGTAACTCCAGTTCCAGAGAATCTGTCGCCACCTTCTGACCTCTGCAGGCATTGCATGACAGAAGGGCACTTACATACATGCAGGCTATACACTCATACACATAAAATAAAAATAAAATTTTTTTAAGTGTAAGAGTTCTTTTTAAGCTTTTTTCGTACTTATTTAAAAATGTATGTGTGTGTGGTGTGTGTATGCTTGCCAAGGTATAGGCGTGGAGATCAGAAGACAGTTTGCTTCAGTTCTTTCTCCTTCTATCATGTGGATTCTGGGAATAAAATTCCTGTCATCAGGCTTGGTGGCAAGCACTTTTGCCCACTTAACCATCTCTCTCACCCAATATTTTATCAGATCTCTGAGTTCAAAGAGACAGGATCTCCTTGTAGCCCCAGCTGTCCTGGAACTCACTATGTAGACCAGGCTGGCCTCCAACTCACAAAGATTCGCCTGCCTCTGCCTCCCAAGTGCTGGGATTAAAGGCATGCACCACCACGCCCAGTGCATTTTATTTTTTAAAGCTAAGCTGGCCTGGAACTCATGATCCTTCCTGCTTCCTCCAGGATGCTGGATTTCTCCACCACTCTCAGCTTGGTGTATCTCTTGATACTAAATATGAACATGTTCCTAGTAAGATTTATATTATGTTCCTTTGGTCTTGTCCACACTTACAGTATTTGTACTTTTTAGGATTTTTGGTTCTGAATGTTATATACTTCAGGTTATTTGGGGGTTTTGTTTTTCCTGTTTTCACAGTTTGGCTGTTCAGACTACTGCTTCCTCAGTGTTAACCTTAGTATCCGTATTTATTTTTGACCATTTCTCTGAGAGAGTTTTCACTGCTCCTCCCCTCCCCAGGCTGGCCTCCAACTATGATAACTGGCAGAGGATAACCTTGAACTTCTGATTCTTCTGCCTGCAGCCCCCAATTATAGGGATGTGCCCCCATCCTTGTAATTACTTTTGAATTCCTAATTTGGATCGTGTCTCTTCACTTGTCACACTTGTGCCACGTGAGTGAGCTGCACCAGCTGTCTGGTAGTCTTTACTGGTGGAGGACCAAAGCCAGGCTCTCTACTGACCTGGCCTCCAGGCATCTCAGTTGCCATTGACCGCTCTCCCTGCAGCTGATCTTTTGGGAAGCGCAGCACAGCAGCAGGCTGAGTTGTAGACTTCATGACTAGCCCTCTTGAGTCTATCCCTGCAGAGCCTTCAGCTCTCTTGAGACAGCCTGCTGTCGGCAGCTAGATGGATTGGCCTTGTCCACTTGTAAGAGCAGGCATCACATTCATTCGTATCTTCCAGGTACGGAAACTGTCAGTCTCGGATTCCCACAAGATTTAGCAAAATCTTGATTGTTTAGTTTTTATTTCAGTTTAGTTTTTGGTAGTAACTCTGAAGGGAATTGGTAACTATTTCATTATTTTAATAGGAAACAAAGACACACTGATTTTGTATTTTCAGTCTTATATTTTAGGTGTCTTGTTTGGAGAGATTTACGATTATTAAATGGTGGTATTGGGAGGTGGGCTGTGAGATGGGGCTCATTTACTGAAGGCCTGAAATCTGGCTTCACCTCACAGCAGCCTTGTTTCATCTTCCCAAATGCTGAGATTACCGACCTGAGCCGCCATGCCTGGCTGTGGTGACTGCTTGTGTCTCCCAAGACCCCCAGTGAGATTTTTTTAATAACTTCCTCTACCCCGTTCCTGCTTTCTGTTTTGTTTTGAGGTAGAATCTACCTATCCCAGCCTGGCCTCAAATTTGGGGTGGCCCTTCTACCTCAGCCTCCTGTGTGCTGGGCTTACAGGTGTGCACCACTATACCTGGGTCCATTCTTGCTTTCTGATGGGTTGATTGATATGATCCTCCCCCTTCCCCCCACTGGTTTAGATGCTATTATATGTTCTAGTTCTGAATATTTAGTTGCTTTCTCAGTATTTATAACATGAAAACCTGACTGAAATCCTAAAATAAGCTTTCTCCTATGGAAAGACCTTACATAGCTTTAAATTCAGTCACAATTCTTGCCTGTTACTAGCCAGTAGTTTAAATTTTACGCACACAGTGGCCAGTAACCAGCCCCTCATCATCTTCCTTTCCTTTGAAAGTGCCACATCTTCACATCCTGAGACTGCCATCTTGTTGGCCCCTATGCTACTGGGCCTGCTACCAGGCCTCTTGCCAGGTTCTCTTGTCTGTTGTGGGCACAGTCTGAACTGCATTCCAGCCCCTTGGGTTGGACCAAGGATATAACAATGGGTAAGCTCACATTGGTGCTTTTGAAATACTGAAGTATACAGTGCTTTTCCAAATAAGAGTCTGGTATTTAATATTCCCAAAGACCATCTTTAAAATTGCTTCATGCTTTCAGAGCAACAGCTTGGTAGGAGTAAACTAGTGTGCACTTGTCTCTCCTGAAAGCAGCCGTGTTTACTGTTCCTGGATTTCTCTACTGTCTACTAGTGGGTGCTTATGGATGGCTTGGTCGGATCCCTCATCTGAGACTACTGAGACTCGTGTTTTGTTGCCTTGGAAGAGAACAGGAAGTTTAAACATTAGTGTTGACTCTCCCACCTCACCAAGTTTCCCTGAGATGTTGTCTGTTCTGAAAGGTCAGAGTGTAGTGTTCCAGCCATTTGAAATTAAAGGTTTGTGTGCTAGACAGAGCATAAAATGGCATAGAAGATATGGATCTCAAATAAACCTGAAAAGGCCTGGGAAAGGCTCAGCCTGCACCAATAGGAGAGGAGGCGTGGCAGTCTGAGTACTTTAGCTATCTAAATAATGCAAGAAAAACCATGAAACCATGCTGTTCCTGATTCATCTCTCCTTTGGGGGCTCTGGTCTTAGATCAGGCGCCTAGGGGGATTCTGGGTATTTGCTGACATTCTTATGAAGAGCACTGGGTTCCGGGAAAGGTAAAAGGTTCTGGTATGGTGATTATTGGTAGATCCCAAAGATAATGGCTTCCTACAGCTGTATTTGCAGTTGAAAACAAATGTAGCCAATTAAACATCCAGTTTAAACACATTTTGCACTGAATTCATCCTATGTAAGATCACAGAAATGAGGATTTGAAAGCAGGTGTTTCTGAACAACAGGACATTTAAAAAACAGGTGAGATATCCCCTCAGCAGGCAGGGGATGTCTTTCATACAAGAGATCCAGGGATTTCAGTCTCAGTCTTTTGCTCACTTTGTCTCCTGAAGCCCCCAACACACACAATATACATTCATCTGTTTAAGGTCCATATGTAATGGAGGGTCGGAGGTACCAATTCAAAGCCAGGTGTAATGGTGTGTGCCGTCAGGCCCAGCACTCAGAGGCAGAGACAGGTGCACTGCTGAGATTGAGGCTAGCCTGATCTACATAGCAAGTTTCAGGCCAGCTAATGCTACAGGGAGACCTGTCTCTAACAACAGAATATAAAACAGCATGTGACCTGGAGCTTTGCACAGACCTTAGTGTGCCTTCTAGCCTGTCATTCTGTAGACTGGCCTCTTGTGAATGTCTGGGCAGAGGCTACAACCAAGCCTGGTAGCTTCTTGGGCCTGTGGAAGCCTGACAGAAGTGAAGCTAGGGCCCTAACATCTTAACACTAGCTCTTTCTAGAGAGGAAAAGGAAACAACCTTGGCTAACAGTTTATTTCAGTCAGTCACAACAATCAGTGGCTACTCCGGTGGGGCAGTTATTCTAAATAGTGCTTTGGTACCAGGTTCCTGCTACCCGTCTGTGGCTGCAGCATCCCTGAGTACCCCTGATGCTGGTCAGAGAGAGGACTGTGAGGGAAGTCAGCAGTGGGTCAGGGTTGAAGATACCTGTGTTGTGCAAAGAAGACAAGCTATATGCCCTGGACAAGGAATGGGATTTGGCCAGAGCTGAGCTTTGCCACGCCCAACCTCACATTCTTTGTCTGAGCTGACTGGGAGATCCTGGGCGCCTTCCCCCATTGGTAAGTCTTTTGAAGCTGAGCTGCTGAGGGCTGTTTTTCCTCTCTTCCAGGGATAGTATGACTACAGATTACCTGAGGAATTAAGAAAAGGTTAAGAGTTTTGAAACCAATATAACCCCAGGGTAGAGATTCCAGGCTTCACTGCTCTTTTTTTTTTTTTTGGTCTTGACAGCAGGGTCTCCCTGTAGCCAGTTGGCCTGGAACTCACTATGTAGACCAGGCTGGCCTTGAACTCTGAGCAATCCACCTGCTTCTGCCTCCCAAGTGCTGGGACTAAAGGTGTGCACCACCATGCCTGGCTGCTTTAGTTTTTAAAAGTTCCCCAGTGATTCTTACTGAATAGCACTAGTAGCCAGAGTGAGAGCTACCAATGTCAACATACAAGAAAGTATTGCCTAGTTAGATGTGAGGAAAAAATGAAATATTTCCAGGAAAGTGGGAGCAGGGCATGGTTGTTGGCAGAGGTAATGTGTATCTTTGTTGAGGATTTGCTAAATGGCTGGTTAAGTCCTGATCTTCCATGATGGGTAACCAGTCATATTTCCAGTGCCCTCTAATGCCAGACCTGATCAGTGAGGGTGAGTTTTGGGCACACACTGTCCAGGTTGATGTGGGAGACAAGCATGGACAACCACAGCTTAGTCCTCAACATCGGACACACACCCCTGGTACCAGCCCCAAATCAGGGGCTAGGGACTAAGTGGAAGGTGTTAACAGTAGTGGCTCAGTGTTTCAAGAATCTGGAGAATGATTCACAGTAGCCGTGTCTTTCTGTTTTGAGTGAGTGAGTTAGTATTAAGTACACAGCAACCAAAAGTAACAGATAGCAGGTAGATAGAGGCAGCGGGAAGAGCACATTTTTGGGCTCTCACAACCAGGAGAAACCAACCGGGAGAGTTAGGCCATGAAAAACTCATCCATGGAGACTATGGTTCATCAGAAACTCCAGCTAACTGCCTCCGCTTCCCTGTCTGTTTCTGCTGAATGTTGTGAGCACTGGACATGGTGTTACCGTTGCTCTTAATCGTGGTACTCCAGTCTCTGCTGCTGTGAGCGCTTGAATTGGGGATGTTTTGCTGTTGCTATTCACTCTGCTACTCGCTATTTATTTTTTGACTTTTCCTTGCTATATCCCTAGTCATCATGTACAGGTACATATGTACATACACATGTATGTTTGATATATATATGTATATATAAAATCACTCATTCAAAGCTAAAAACGGCTGTTAGAAATCATTCTCCAGACTGGTTGTTCGTAATTGCTGTAGTCCGCAGGATCTATGAAATAACATATTTGTTTTGGATGATACCTGGTTTGACAAGGAACAATAGGGTCCCCAAAACAGAGTCTGTAAAGGAGTTGGGTTGCCTTGTGTCCTCAAACCCATTTCGTGGGCTCAGGCTCCTGATTTCAGCACCTCTCAGTGCAGGTGAGGACCCTTCAGCTCCTGACTCTCAGGGGTGACCTGAGGACCATGGGGAGACCTGAGGTGAGTGTCTACCTTACCTCTCCCCAACAGAGCGGTGGCTTTCCATGTATTGTAGCCTCTTGGAGACTTAGCTTTTTTCCTGGCCATTTAGAAACCGAAAGCCCGAGTCCCTTGGTGAGAGCAGAGGAGTGTTCACCCAAGATATGTTCGGTCAAGCAGGGTCTTCTACACTCCTGAGATGAGCACTACTTCAAAAAAGGCTGCTGTGGGGCAGCAAGAGGGCTGGAGCTCTGGTAGTCTGTCCCTAAGAACCCTCACCAGTAGACAAGATGGGATGTGACAGTGTTCTAGGTGTAGTCGAACACTAGGCCGGAAGGACAGCATTGGGTTTGCTTTTTTTTCCCTCTGTTTTCTCTTTTCCCAAGTGCCCTCTGCTCCTGAGCCTGCCTGCTGTGGCCATGTTTGGGCAGCAAGTCTGGCCCCTTGCTTGGCGTGTACCCCTTTGGCAGCTGGAACACACCCTGCTCTGAATGTTCCTCATGTGCATTCTGAGTGGGACATGCAGCCTCCTGCCTGTGGTCTTGAGTGCATGTTTCACCCGATGGCTCTTGTCGACATGGGCCCAAGGTCAGTAGCACCATTGTGGCAAATTCTCATGACCCCACCTGGACTTAAAGTCAGAACCCCAGACTTTGAAAGCCCTTTCAAGCTGACGATTTGAGCAGCACCGACTGGGCTCTGCTGGGTCTGAGTGGATGGGTCTGTTCCCATCCACGTCAGCATTTCATCTCCTACCTTAGCTTTTGGGCCAAAATGTGGGGCCACCACTCCACCTACACAGTTGGACTTTGTGTATAGGGACTGTGTTATCTTAGGAGCCTGACCCTCTTCCACATCCCAGCAGTTTACAAAAGAGAATGAGTGTACTTGGGAATGTGGCCAACACCAGCTGACCTGGGAACCCACCCAAAAGGGAATAACTGGCCAAAAAGTCTTGCAGTGATATCCTGGACTATCAGACACTCTGTGCCCCCATAAGTCATTTTTGTGTAACAAAAGGTCAAAGTCATAGGGCAGCCACGGCCAGCAGGTGGTCATCCACCTGGTACTCTGGATCCCAGTACCAGCAGCTACATGCGCTGGAGGCAGGCCCAGCAGTGACAACCTTGCATATCTACACCAGGGGTGGACCTTGCACACAGGTCAGGGATATAGCATGAAATCACACTATGTGGTAGGCAGGCACACAATTAAATAGCATGTTTAATCATCTCACAACAGACAGTAGTGCAGTAGTAGAAATTGTAAGTCCTCTTAAAAAAGTTACTCCCCATTCCTCAGCTGACAGACACTGTGGCTGAGGAGCTGGTGACAGGGTAAGAGGGATTCAGATGTCATCCCAGGAGCTGAGAGTCTCCAAATCAGAACTGCCTTGTGAGCAGCCAAGAGCCCTATGAGGAACTGATGCACACACACTCAACATTCACACATGCAAGGGACACTATAGACGGATGAAGGGGTAGGCGAAGGACACAATGGAACAGTCACACGTGCACTCTTGATTTCACAGCATTCTAATCTGTGGCTGTCTCTCAAGACACAAGTAGTGGCCTGAGCCTGGAAGCAGCAGGTGCTGGTCAGATGAAGGGGAAACCACTGCATCCAGCCCAGCTGCTGACACATGTCCCCAGCAGCCAGGAGGCCCCTCACATCCCTGATGCAGCCAGTACACAAGCCAGCTCTAGTGCTAAGGGGCCAGGCATTTCCGCATTACCACCACAGCATCAGTAGTGGGCAAGGATTCCTTTTGGCTTAGTCAGGGTATGCACTGTCCCAGAGGCAAACAGAGAACACACCCCCAGCCCCCGCTAGGCCCCTCGTGCCAGGAGACTGGTGGCACTTGGTTCTGTGCCAGATGCAGGGGAAACAGCAGGCCTTGCCATGTGTGCTCTGGACCCAGCAGCACTGCTACAACACAGCTGAGAGGCTAGGGGCTGGCGCTCAGGCAGCGGGCAGGGAGGTGTGTGCAAAAAGGAGGCCCTGAGCTGAGGATATTTGGGGGGCTACCAGACAGGTTTAAAGAGAAACCTTCATTCACAGCTTCATTCAGCGGTTCCTAGAGTGTCTGTAGATTCAAGTACCAACAGTTCTGAAGGGGCTGTTGGGATGGAGTGACCAGCACATGCTGGGAGAGTAGCTGCCCGCAGACCTGGTAGTAGGGAACCAGCCTGGAGGTGCTCTGGGCCCTGGCACTGAGGCCTGTCCTAAGGAGACAGACCAAAGGGCTACAAGATCTCCTCCCGTGGGCTCCTGGCCTTCAGCGGGGTTTGTCCATTGGGCACGGATCCATTCTGACCATGCAGGAGTTTGCCCTTCTCCCGGTCTGGCCATGTGAAGATGGCATCATCGCTGTCCAGCTCCGACTCAGAGTGCATCAGGCTGCTACTCAGCATGGGGCCTTTGTGTTTGACACCTGTAGGAAGACAAGCACCCTCAGCATTAAGAAACAACCTTCCCAGGCCTCAGCAGAAACCACAGTCATCCTGGCCTTGAGATGCTTCTCTCTAGGCTGGGGTAGGAGAGGTAGAAGGAGGTCTGGGGCTTTCTAGAACAGTCCATGGGAAGAAGTCACAAAGCACAGCCTGAAGATCAGACCTGGGCTCTCCTGCTGGGCCTTGAGCTTTAGCTGTTGTCCCAATGGCATTCTCTTCCCTTTTAGATAAAGAATATTTCCTCAGGTTCCTTTGTGGACAGGGTGGAGGGAGGAGGGAGGCAGAAAAGCACAGGGAACTCAGGCCCTGGAGAATGCTCTCTGGCCATCTCCTGTCCCGAGGCACAGACACCGAGACCATGACAGTGTGCGGATGTAGGCCTGTGCCCCGTGGGCTCTCCATCTGCTCTGCCTCCACTGCAGGGGTACCGGAGGTGGGACAGCCCAACTGAAGTGGAACTCTCAGAGAGTCCCAAGCAGCTGGCTCCTGAGAACGCACCCTTAAGAAGCACTTGAGGCTGGAGAGATGGTTCAGTGGTTGAGAGTACTGGCTGCTCTTACAGAGAACCTGAGTTTGGTTCCTAGCGCCTACATGTTAGCTCACAACCATCTGTAACTCTAGCTCCAAAGGATCCAATTCCCTTTTTCGGCCTCCATTGGCACTACACATAAGCGCACATAAACTCACACAGATTCATGTGCTTACACATAAATTTTTTTTTTTATTTTATGTGTATGAGTGTATTGCCTGCATGTATGTGAGTGCACCCGAGTTGTGCAGTGCCGCGGAGGTCAGAAGGCGGCTTCGGATTCCCCCTAGAACTGATGTTAAGGATGGTTCATAGCCACCATGTGGGTGCATGACAAGTATGCATGGGGACACATACGATCAGTAAAAACAACACAAATCTGTAGTCCCTCAGACTCAACAATTCCCTTTCTAAGTCTGCACCTAACAGAAATTCATACATATGTGCACCAAAAGACACAGACAAGACTGTTCACAGCACTCGCTGGAAAGAGCACAGTTGTCCATCAGCAGTCTAAATGGTCAATAAGTGACATTTATCACTAAGTGTGGTTGCATAATGGAAACTCTACCGCAGAGCAAATGAGTGGGCTGCTGTAGGAATATGGGAATAGGATGCTGGGTGAAAGGGGCCAGTGTGCAATGCCATTCACAGAACTCCAAGACTGCAAATAAACTTGGGGGGTACTGACTGGAAGGGAGCACAGAGAGGACCTGGAGACTGATTTCCAGTATTGCTCCCCTGTGAAGGTGGCAATTTCCAATTAGGTTGCACCACAGAGAACTGCCACTTTTGTGGGTAAAAGAGAAGGTCATTTGATTTGGGTCAATCTACTGTAACAGGGAGGGAGGGAGGGCAGCAGAAGAGCAGAACAAGCAGATCCCCAAACCAGAGCTGCTGAAGGCAGTGCCCCGCAGAGCACCCCCCCATGGCTCTGCCCAGCTTAGTGCAGCACCTCTGCCTCTCCTCTGCCTCAGGAGACAGCATCTGCATCCTGCCCCCTTGTAGCAGCTCCCCTCCATGCCACGCCCCACTCCTCCAGGAACCCCTCCTCCACCAGGCCTGGCATCTCTGCCTGCTGTCCTGGGCTTCCAGCTTCTCCTCAAGTTTTCTTCGTGGCTCGACTTTGAAAAGGGCTTTTAAATCCCTAGGGCATGTTTCTTCATATCCTGCCATCCAGATGAGCTTCGTGCTCCTTTGCAGACACACTCAACTGCTGCTAACGTCTCCAGAGTAATCATTAAATCTGATGGTTTTGCAGCAGCAAATATGGATGTGCCCCTTACCCCTCCCCCACAGGACCCTTCCTCCTCAACAGCTCATCTTAGGATCCTGGGTCTCTCCTTGGGCAAGGCTATGACCCACTTTTGAGGTACTGATCTTTACTGGCAGGCAGAATTCCATGTTCCAGTCCTGACTGATGTGCTGGGTTCACTTTAATTCTTCCATTGCCCAACAGCCCCTGCACCAGATGTCCTGATTCTGCCCAACAGCACTATCCTCTGCCTCTTGGCTAGGAGCCAGCCTTGCCCTGCCTGCCCCCTGCCTGCTGTTACAATGTGTTTGAGCTACTGTCACCTCCGAGACCACTGCAGAGTCTCTATTGGCCTCCTTACCTGCAGCCTCTCCCTTTCAGCCTACTGGACATTGCTACCAGGCCGACTTCCTCAAGCAGCACTCTGAGGGCATCACTTCTTGTTACCACCAGGACAGACAGTCAGTTCTGTATCCCCTTCACAGCACCCACTGCTCCTGGAACAGCCTGCTCAACCACCCAGTCCCAGGCCACTCACCATGGCTGGACTGCCCAGCATGTCATGTTGTCCACCTCCCCAGATACCCTCTGCCCTTCCAGCTGCACAGCCTTACCACTTCTCCCTCTGCCTGCAACACTGTGGCCTGCAGTCTACACCTCCGACTACTCTTCCTTCGAATCCAGCTTAGGTGTTACTCTTTTTACGTTTTTTAAAATTATATTTTATTTATTTAGTTTGTGCACACGTACATAACGCATACTATGGTGCAGAGGTCAGAGGACAAGTTAGAGGAATTGGTTCTCTCCTGCCCCATGTGGGTCTTAAGGATTGCACTCAGCCTGCCAGGCTTGATGGCAATGCCTTTACCATTGAGATATCCTGCCAGCCCTAAGTGTTAAGACTTTTCCCAGGGCTGGAGAGATGGCTCAGTGGTTAAGAGCACTCACTGCTCTTGCAGAGGACCCAGGTTCGGTTCCCAGCACCCACATGGTGGCTAGCAACTACCTGTAACTGAGTCCCAGGGGATCCGATGCCTCCTTCTGGTTTCTGAGACTACTGCATGCACAGGTGCACTTACACACATGCATTATTCATACCCATAAAAATAAAAATTTAAAAACTGATTTTTTTAAACTTCACAGTCAGATTCTATACAGTTGTGAATGTGACTCTGGGAGGGTCAAGGAAGGAGAAGAACGAGTTCCGGACATAACGGCCAGCAGAACTTGCTCAGAAAAGGTGGAGTTCAGCAGAAGGAAGACCCTTGAAGAGTAAACTGACACAGAGAGCTCACAGAGGTTACACAGCCCAATCCAAAGTTGCAACTTTTCAGGCTGAAAATAGCAAGTCATGGAAATTTTTCAGGAAGGAAAATATGGCCAGAGTAAAGTGATAAGGACCCCATCAGCCACTCTGTGGAAGCAAGCTGCACTGATTTGTTCTTGGTCTTGTGGGGAATGTTCTGGCCACTGCCGATACCCAGGTTCACGTGGGGCTCCCAGTGCTCACAATGGAGCTGCCTAGGTGCAGAGCCCAGCTGCCTGTGAATGCCCACTCTCTGCAGCTGCAACTTCTCCCCCTCCAGACTCAAGTTCTCTGAGGGCAAAGTGTCTTGGGCCTCTCTTCCCCACTGTCTCCCCTAAAGCAAAGCTTTAAGCAGGAGGGTGTTTAATAAATGCTTTCTGTAAAAACAGTTTTTCAGCAAAGGGCTTAGAAATGGTGAGGAGGCTGGTAGGAAAGAAGGCTCTGACCTGGCCTCTGTCTGGAAAGGGAACTTTCTTAGGCATAAGGGACTGAGACTGCTGACCCTGATCACAGCAGGCAGCTTGGGAAGCAGCTCCAATCCAGGGAGCAACCTGAGAGATTGGGCAAAGGTGGTGGGTGGCCCCTCCACCGAGTGGAAAGAACCCCCAGTCAGCCCCTCATGTGGCTCCTGACAGCTCGGGCAACTTCCACCCTCATCTTCATACAAGAGAACAAGATGCCGAGGCCCCAGGGACTGAATAGTGATGGCGGCTCCTCTGGGAGCTCCAGCTCCTAGGGCCCTACCTGCTCGGGACGTTGGCTTCAGCTCCAGGCTTTCCTGATCTGTGGCATCCAGGATCTTGTACCTGCTTTTCCTCTTGGGTTTTCCTTTTTGCCTAAAAAATATAACCCCCAACTCTGCTGAGGAAAGAGGTTCTGTCTGTGAGGCTCAGGAGTATGGGGCCACCTTGGGGCTGCATAGGTGTCTTTCCTTGCTTCTCAGCTAGGGAAGGTGCTAACTAAGGTTTGTTCCTCACTACCTGGGAGAGCAAGGCAAGAGGCCCGTGACCACTTTGGGGTGGGCTCTGCTGGAGGGCCTGAGAGGAGGAAGCACCGCAGCCATGGAGCTGCTCCGGGGGCTGACTCAGGCTGGTGGGGACTTTTGAAACTCCTCTTAATTTTCTAAATTTTATATGAGGTAATACTGCAGGTTCAATCCCAGTCTTGCCTCAAGCTGTGTTCTCAAACAGGGTATAACTATCCTAAGTTCGAGTTTCTTTATTCATAAAATAGCAGAAGGCTGTGGGGGGTGTAGGAAAGACAGTACCTTCTAAATGTTATTACGGCACGTAATAAACCCAGAAACCCTGTGTTCTCAGGGGTGCTGGTGACTGAACCAAGAGCCTTGCACATACTAGGCAAGTATTCCACCACCGAGCTATGCCCTAATCCAGAAATCATACTTAGCAATGAAAAACATATGGGGCTAGAAACATGGCTCAGTGGTCAAAAGCACTGGCTGTTATTGAAGAGGCCCAGATTCAATTCCCAGCACCCACATGGTGACTAACAACTGTCTGTAACTCCAGTTCCAGGGGATCCAACACCACCTTCTTCTGATCTCTGCAGACATTGCACCACACAGGTACAATATATTCATACACATAAAATAAAAATAATAAATAAAAATTTTAAAAATACAATAAATCTAACCATGAAATAGTGTATACCTAGCTAGGAAGACTCAAGCTAAAAAACCAAACACTAGGACAACCAATCAATCACCATGAACTTCAGCCTATAACTGTGTGAAAACTATATTCAGGTGTAAGGCTGGGACATGGAAAGTCAGTGGCAATGCACCTGGCTGTGATCCAGCCCACACTTCCACATGGTTCCCATCCTGCAAATCTTTGCAGTGACACCACTTGACTGTAAGGCTGTGCTTCTGCTCTGCTGAGTATTGGGAGTGAGAACTTTCCTGCACAGGACTTGGCTGGGCAAAACCCCACTAACACTGACTAGAGATCTGAACCCAATCCTTCCACAGAGAAGGTACCAAATACCTTACTGAGGAAAAGTTCTATGACAAATATATTTCAAAAGAGAATTCATCTCACCTCTTGCAACAACAGATCACAGTCCAAGACAGGATTCCCAAAGCAACAACAATGACGAAGGTTGCGATGATAACATACAGTACGCTCCACTCTGCAAAGAAAATCAAAATGGTGAGGACGCAAGGGAGACACCAGAAAGCAGGTGTGAGCTGCCCCACACAGAACAAGGTGGCTTCACAGTGGCCAGGAATGTGCCTAGGCACCCCAGGACCATGAGTTAACAGACAGTAAAGCTTGCATGCTTCTGAAACATCCATGCCCCAGGCTCTGCTCCAAGAGGGCTCTGCCGTGTGCAGGGACACAGAGCTGTAGGACAGGATGTGGGCTTCCATGAGGCCCAGCAATGCAGGCTCTCCAAACAGACAAGAGGCCTACTGGCAGCATGTGGGATTTAGGCTGCAACATGCAGCTACTCTGACTTAAGCCAGGCTCTACTGATATGACTGCTCCAGAGCCCTCTGCTAACCTTCAGCATGTGTGAAGGAAGGAAGGAAGGTCCTCTGCAAACACAAAATACACAGAGTTCTTCTGCTCGCCTGATTGTCTGTCTTAAACACCAACACCTGCCCCCGCAGCACAGCTCCACACTCCAGCCTAGCTGGCTGGCACAGGGCCACACACTCACCACAGTTGCTGTCTCCATCCCTCAGCTGCACCTTGATGAAATTCTCCATCCAAAAAGGGTCACAGACACAGCGCTTGGTGAACGAGTCACAGTGGCCATGGTCAGAACAGTTCAGCTGACATGCTGAAAGTGGCAGAAGATAGGGAAAGTCAAATGTCGCCAGGGCCCAGGTGACAACCAGCATCCAGCATCCAGGCCTCATGAAGACTAAAGTCCCACTGCTTAGAGCTCAGTGGAGAAGCTTCCTGGAGACCCAATCTGAGGGCCTGCACAGCAGCACTTCATGAGACAGTGTGCAAGTCAAACAGCCCCAAAAGCCTCTTTGTTCTCTGTACTGAGAATCTCAATCTGGCTTGTCTCACCTCCTCAGAGCAATGCAGCTGCAGAAATACAATACATAGATATTGCCACACTGAGTGTAGTTTCAAAATATTTAAGAACGCAAAGTTTTGAAATAAGACATGTTGTGTGTCTTTATTAAAACACTGAGGAAGAAGAACTGCAGCGAGTCAAACAATGACTGCAATTTTGAAGTAGTGGAGGCAAAAGTGCTATTTTGCCATGCAATGCTATACGAAATCATCCATGATTTCCTTTGCCTCAAAGTCATGAGTTCTGCCTCCCTTCAGAACTGACGGTGATCATGAATTTCCAGACAAGTTCAGAGAAAATAAAGATGTATTTTTCCATTCATTCCCACAGCACCCCGGAGTACCATCAGGGATCTGTGGGCTCTGGTTGCTAAGAAGCCCTGGGTGAATGGCCTCTTCCCAGTAAGTGACAGAAGGCTGTGCTCAGGTGACAGGCCTAGAAGGCCAGCTGTGAGGTCCAACTTCTCAGACTACTCACTGACAGTGTTGATTTCCAGGGCTCCAAATATCAGGAAGTCGGCCTTTTGCTTCCTTAGCTCACTCCTGAGCATCGCTGCCACCTCATGGCCTTTGAAGAGCTGGTGGGGAGGCTCATTCTGAACAAAGAATACCATCTTGGTGCTGCAGAGACAGGTGACAGACAGTAGAGTGAGCTGGAGGGAGTCACAGCAGTAGCTGTATCCACTAAATACCATCTGTCTGTACCAGACGCTATACTCAGCACGTTACATGCACTGTCACAAGCAAGCCAGCACAAAAGAGGGCAACATGGGATCAGAGGAGTTGAGTTACTTGCCCAAGGTCACATAGTTAATTATGGCAGAGCCGGTCCCCATCCTGTTACATCTGATTCTAAAATTTTTACTTTTTTTTTTTTTTGAGACACAGTTTTTCTGTAGCCCTAGCTGGGCCTGGAACTCGTTATGTAGACCAGGCTGGCCTTGATCGCAAAGAGATCCGATATCTACCTGCCTCTGCCTCCCGAGTGCTAGGATTAAAGATGTGCCCAGCTAAGCTTTTACTTTCAATAATGCCCTAGCTGGGCACAGTGGCACATGCCTTTAATCCCAGCATTCAGGAGGCAGAGGCAGGTGGATCTCTGTGAGTTCAAGGCCAATCTGGTCTACTTAGCAAGCTCCAGACCAGCTGAGGCTACAGGGAGACTCTGTCTCAAAAAGACAATAAATAAATAAATAAATAAATAAATGCCCTGGTCTGGGGACTGGAGAGATAGTTCAGTGGTTAAGAGCACCAACTGCTCTTGCAAAGGACCTGGGTTCAATTCCCAGCACTTACATGGCAGCTAACAACTGTCTATAACACCACTTTCAGTGGATCTGATGCCTTCTTTTGACCTCCTCAGACATTGTACAACATGGGTGTAGTTACACACATCCAGGCAATACACTTATACACATAAAATAAAAATAATAAATAAAATATTTTAAAGTCTTTAAAAAATGCCCTGGCCTTGTAGGAGTCAGTTCTCTCCTTCAACCATGTGGGTTCTAGGGATAGAACACAGGTTGTCAGGCTTGGCAACAAGTGCCTTTACCCACTGAGCCATCTTGCCAGCCCACATTATCTTATTTACCCTCAACATCAATGCTATAAATCCAGCAATAGAATTCGCAGGTGGTACACAGATCCAGGTAAAGGAGCTTGCACAGTTCCCAGGGCTCACACTGGTATGGCCTGCTGGGGGCCAGGCCCTGCTTGCTCTTGTAGTATAGCACCTCCCTCCAAACACAAGATCCTCCTGAAATCCTCGCCTCTGCCCATCCTGTTCCAACCAGAACCAAGGGCAAGCCAGATGCACCTCTCTTCTTCCTGCCCCACCTGCTGCTTCATCTTCGTTCTCCCCAATTAATTCCCAGCATGGGATCAATGCAAGCAGCCATTGGCCCAGCCCTACGCCCGCTGCCAGCACAGCTGTTTATTTGTTTGTTTTCCTGTTTTGAGGCAGGGTCTCATTATGTAGCATGGGCTAGCCTGGAACTTGTTACATAGACTTCACAGAGATCTGCCTGCCTCTGCCTCCCAAGTGCTGGGATTAAAAGTGTGTGCCCCACACCTGACCTTTTTAAGAGGAGTTTAGCTGGGTGTGGTAAGTTCAAGGCCAGCCTGGTCTACATAGTGAGTTCCAGGCCAGCTGGGACTATAGGGAGACCCTGTTTCAAAAAGACCAAAAAAAAAAGAAAGAAAGAAAAGAGTTTAATCATCAGATTCCCTGGAGCCTGCACACTGCAAGTGCCCAAGGTCTCACGCCAACTGAGTCACAATCTCTCTGGATGAGGCTTGGGCCCGGTTGGTCATAAAAGCTCCAGCTGACTGCTGTATGAAGATGGGAAGGAACCACTGCTAGCCCCTCATGCTTCCACTCGATATGACCCCAGTACTGCTTGAGGTAAGCACCACCCCGGAGCTGCTGCCAGCTGTCATCCCTCTCCTCATGCTTTTCCTTGGGAAGCATCTTCCTGTCCCTGCTCAAACAGATAAAACAGGACCAGTACCACCAGCACTATCAGAGTTCCCAACCTCTACTACAGTCAGTTCCCCAGACCTGCCTCCATCAGTCACCTCAGCCCTCACCACCTCCTTTTCCCCTGGCACCTTCCCCCAGGAGCTACAAAGGCTCACCCGTGGCCTATCTTTAAAAGGAACATCTTTTTCCTACCCTCACATTCCTTCCAGCACCAGCCTCTGACACTTCTGTGTCCTCAGACCATGCAACCTGCTCCTTTCCCGTTCTCATGCCACCACTGGCCCGGCAACGTCTGAAGCCACTGGCCATGCCACCACTAAGCCATGCCTGACTGCCAGCAGCCTTCCCTTCTCCCTCCCTGAGATTCTTTCCACTTTGGAGTTTTGCTTTTTCTCTCTGCCACTTCCTCTGCCTATTTCCTTAAATATCTTTTCCTTAAATCCTCTTGACATGCCCCAGTGTCACTCATCTATCTATGGCTTTGGCTCCTGATTTTTGATGTTTCCTTCTACCCCCAAGTTGCCCCTATAATCCTAGTTTTCAGAAGGTTGGGGGAGCAAGAGGTTCAAGAGTTCAAATCCAGCGTGGGCTACATGAGATCCTGTCTCAAAAAAAAGTCACCCCTAACTCAATAGTCAAATGAGTTTCTTCTTTTTCCCTAAACTCAGCTCCTACCTGAATCATCCGTCCAGCCCTGCAGACTAACAGCCTCACTCACCTTCATCATGAAGGACCATCTAGCTCCTTTTCATAACTCAGGGGTCTCAGCTCATTGCTGGACCACCCAGAAGCTCCCTAACCACCTTCCTAATTTAGTTTACCCTCTACACTACTATCTTACTTTTTTGAAAAGTCAAAATGTGGAATTTCTTAAACTTGCCTGAGTCCTTCGACACAAACTACCAAACTAAACTCTTTAGATTAATGTAAATCCTCAGTCTCCACTAACCTTACCTTTGATCACATCCTGGGACCACTGAACTCTGTGCCAAATACCTTCCAGAAAAAACCCTCCTGCCTTCTGAACGTCCTCCTAGCTCTCCTATGCTGGGCAAGGTCAGTGTTACTCCTGGAACGTCTTTCCTCCTCCAGCTCTCTTGGAAGAATTAACTACCCTGGTTGTTTCCCTAAGGTCACACAGTGTGTCACACTGCTCTGCACCCAGGTGAGGCTTACTTGTTATCTCCCTTCCAGGCTTACAAAAGGAAACGACCTTCTTGGACCTAGTACTCAGAGCTGTGCTAAGGGTTGAGTGCAGGCATAAGGCCTGCACAGCAGGAACAGGAACACTGGAGACAGACTTGTGTTTCCTGGTCAGAGCGCCCACCCTTCACCATCTAGCTCCACTACTGCTCAGCTGAGAAGCCCAGGGGGCCCCCAGAATTTTTACTCCCCGCACTCGTTGCCCAGCTACCTCTGCTCCGTGTATGGCTGAATCTTTTGCACAATGATGTCAGAATCCAGCACCCCCAGAAGGACCCCAATCTGGCGGATGAACATCCCCTTCAGCCTCTCAGTTAGCTGACTGACGTTGACATCCAAGATGATCTCCACCAGGTTGTTTTTCCTGGGATCTGGAAAGCACGTGGATCAGTCATGACTTCAGGAGTAGAAGAATTAAAACAGACTTGTCATTGTGTGCTTGCTCTGGCACAGGAGAGAAGTGGTGACAGCGTTCAGACCTCCTTCAAGTGAGAAGGGTCAGTAGTGAACCCCTGATAAGACAATCAGGGGCTGGCTTGAAAAGTGTTTCACCACCCTGGGAAGTGTCATACAAGTGCTGGGGGTGAGGTCAACACTAGGAGGCACCATGCTTAGTGGAAGAACAGGGAGGACGGACATGCCAGTCTTTTAAAAGCCCTGTCTGATGGGCACCACCAAGCTCTCAGGCTAACGGGGGTGTCAACAGCCTCTCCTGACTCCCACCTGACTTTCGGGGATTGATTGTACTTTATCTATAAATATGTGAGGGAAAATGTCGCTCCCAACCTTCTTATCAGGGGTGTAAATGCATCTATCCCTTTAGGTGTCAATGCAGCAAACAGAGAGAAAGCCCAGGTAGCCAAGAAGCAATGATTTCCTTAGCACAACCTCCGAGCTGCACCGTTCACACCTCTAGAACCTGGATGTGATCATCCTTACTGGCCCATATCTAGAAGTCACAATGGATCGTTCAGAAACCCTGACTCACGGCCTTGGATGCACCATTTCCAGGCTGTGATGGAAGGTCTACACCGCTGGTACACTATCTGTAGCCTGGTTTTGAACACAAAAGAGACCGTGTGTGTCTCAGCTACTGTCCTTCCTAGAGGCAGGACAAGGACAAGAAGACCTTCCATAAGCCCTTCCCACTGTAAATAGCCATGCCTGAGCTTAGCCTGGACTAAGAGCAGGCTTGGCATTAAGCCTTTCTCATCAAAAGTTCAGGGACCACCTCGCTCTGTCCACCTCCAGACTCAGCTCCTCCTATCAAATTAGCCTCTAAGGAAAACAAAAACATGGTTCTATTTAAGGGTATTTTATGTCTGAAAATCTGATAAATGTATAGGACACCAGTTATTTTATATTCCCTGGGTTGTCAGATAAAGCCTGGGGCTCAACTTACAAAAATAAATTGTTTTCTGCATCTGGGTGCTGGTGAGACATCGTGACTCAAGCTATTCCTGTGCTTGGATTCCCATGGCACCCTGAGTCTGATCTCCTCAGGCATGTGCAGAGGAGAAAGTGCTGACCTGAGGCATAAAGGCCTGGTTCTGACACAACTGCTATGTGATGCTGAGCAGGCCCCACCCTCTCTGAGGTTTGATTTCTGTTTAGTAAGAATAGGGGGTAGATCTGTGCTACTGCGTGGGAAGGCGGGACACCGGCAGTCTCTGGGACTACTCAGCTTAGGATTCCTACATTTTCTATAAAGGTGGCCCTACTGTCTGGCTATGTCCACGCTAAAGAGAAGGCATCTCAGGATGGAGGTCCAACAGTCTGAGATGGGTAAGATGCTCACCAGGTTTCACCTCCACGGTGGTCCGATCTGTGTCACTCTCACCCTTTGCATCCGTCACTTTCAGATGAAATGTGTAGGTTCCCTCAACCAGGTTGGAAAGGAAGAGGACAGGGTGATGGTCAGAGTGATTCAGCACCTCCTGTGGGGTTGAATGACATGGCTGTGCTGGAACAAACAGCGTTTCTTTCCTGGAGTTAGCTGCTGCCTGTGCCGTAAAGTGCTCTGGGCATTTCCTGATCCATCAGTCACAGCACTGCCCCCCATAGCCCTAGGATCAAGGGATAGAAGCCCCTGTGTCATGCTAGCTTGCAGAATGACCCAGAGTAAGGCATTTAAGCCTCTGTACTTCAGAGCACAGTCTAGGTTTGATACAAGGGGCCATTTGGTTAAGACACACTGTAAGCTCTCTCTGGTCATTTACATACTACTCTGACCTTCTACAGCACTCCCCTCCTGGCCCACTCACCCCTGCAGCTGGGCTGGCCTCATCACGAGTCCACAGGTAGCTGACTATCCCCTTGTCGTCCCAGGACTTGGAGCCATCCAGCTCTGCTGTGTTCGTGGGTAAGGTAATTGCCACATTCCCGGTTATCTTGGCTATTGGTGGTTTGTTTATCTCTAACCAAAGAAACATCATTGAAACAATATGACATTCTGCAAAAGTAAGAGTGCTGCTTCCTGAAGCTTCTCAGGAACTAAACTTTGAGCCCATCTTCACGGAGAGCTGTTTTAACACTTGTCCAGACCTGAAGGCACTGGGGCCAGGAGGCTGCTGCAGTGCCACCTGCTGTCTCCTGACACCACACAGTGGACAAGCAGTTTTCTCCTGTGGTTCTGTAGCAGCCTTGGGAAAAGAAGCACTTCTCTGCTTTAAAGGAATGTGGCGACCGGGAATGAGGCAGAGGAGCTCAAAGCCTGAGGCTCAGGTGCCATCCAGCTGCTGACATCACAGATCCTCCTTTAAAATGCTGCTTTCCAGCTTCTTTTTCATGCCTTCCCTGGGGAGCGACCTCTCTGAGCCTGTCTGCTAGAAGCTTGGGTTGCCAGGTGGAACTCAGTATTTAGTCAGCACAATGCTCTCAGGACATCACCACAGATCTGGTGGTTTTTCTACTATCAGCTCATGGCCTCTTCCAATCCAAGTCCTCCCCAGTCCCTCCGCAAGCAAAGCAGGCAAGGTGGAAGGGTGAGCACAGAAACTGCAGTGCAGTACAGTTGTTCTAGCGCCTGCCAGCAGGTGTCACTGTAGCTAGCAGAAGAGCCACAGGAACCCCGGTCTCAGCAGCACAGAGGCAAAACCAAAATGCATAAACAAATCCTTTAGTTCTTTCCCTATTCATCTGAGAAGGAAGCCCAGGAAGGAAGCAAACAGAGGGGGGGGGGGCGAGAAGGGGGGGAAGGAAGGGGGGGGAGAGGAAGGAAGGAAAGAAGGAAAGGAAGGGAGGAAGGCAAGAGCTTAAAATTTACCTTACAGTTACTCTAATTAAAGGTTGTTTTAGAAAAGAAAGTAACAGCTGCCCTCACCTCAACCTGCTTCCCTGCTTCTCTCTAGTCAACCCTGCACTAAATAAGACACGCGGGGTTCTCAGCTATCAGATCCACAGGGCTGCTGCACACACCCAAACAGGACTGTACCTGCTTTGACGATGACATTCACAGAGCTCTGGCTTTGCAGGTTCCTCTCATCTTTGACAGTCAAGGTGAACACATAGGTCCCCACCTGCAGCCCGGTCACAGTAGCAACACTGCCGTTAGCATTCTCCAGCTGTACCCCGTCGGGCCCCCTAGACAAGAGAGTAATCAGAGGGAGGAGCTGTACCTGTCTGCTACTCTCCTGTCCCTGGCACAGCAAGAAGGAACAATTATTGCCTCAGCTAAGACAAGAACAGTTGTTTTCTACACTTTGACAGGACATGTTTAAAAATATTCTATTTGGACAAAGTTATCACTTGTCCCCAAAACAAAGGCTACCTGCTGGTCAGAAAATTCCACTTGCTGGCTTTCAAACACATCTAGGCTTACCTTTTATAGGAGCTTCTAGAACATTTGAATTCTTTGTTGTTCTAATTTATAAAAGAAATTTATCCAAAGCAAAAAGATAATTTAAGAGATAGAGAGATGGCTCAGTGGTTAAAAGCACTGGCTGCTCCTGCAGAAGACCCAGGTTCAATTCCCAGCACCCACACGGCAGCTAACAACTGACTATAACTTCAGCTCCAGGGGATCTGATGTCCTCTTCTGACCTCCTCAAGCACTGAATGACATGGGTACACCCACCTACATGCAGGCAAGACATTTGTACACATAAAATAAAAATAATAAATGACATATTTTATAAAAGATAATTTAAGAGATATCTCTGAAAAGCATTTCTGGCCCAGCAATTGATTTGCTCTTGCCAGCAAAGAAGCAAAAAACATTTTAAAAATATTTTATTATTTTTAATTTTTTTTTATTATTTTTATTTTATGTGTATGCGTGTATTGCCTGCATGTAGGTAAGTGCACCCGTGTCGTGCAATGCCTGCAGAGGTCAGAAGAGACTGTTGGATCCCCTGGAGCTGGAGTTACAGATAGTTGTTAGCTGCCATGTGGGTGCTGGGATTTGAACCCAGGTCTTCTGCAAGAATGGTCAGCATTCTTAACTGCTGAGCCATCTCTCCAGCCCCTAAAAAAAAGTTATTATTTTTATTTTATGTATATGAGCATACTGCCTGCACGTATGTAAGTGCACCTGTGTCGTGCGGGGCCTGTGGAGGCCAGAAGAGGCTGTCAGAGCCCCTGGATCTGGAATTACAGACAGTTGTTAGCCACTAGGAATCAAACCTGGGTCCTCTGCAAGAGCAGTCAGGGCTCTTAACCACTGAGCCATCTCTCCAGCCCTGCAAAAAGCATTCCTTAATCACATGCCCAAATCCCTCCTGATGAAGTCAGGAATGGGCTCTTGGAACAAACTTTCTTCTCCCAGCTCTAGTAGCAGAGCTCCCTCCAGCTCCTGGACAGCACCACAGAGCACCAGGACACCCACATCCTGCCTTCCCTCCCTGTCACAGCAGCCTGCAGCAGGCCAGCACCCAGGCAAGGGCTGCACAGAGCCAGAGCCCTACACGCCCACACTTCCTTCCAACTAAGGACAACCAGAGGAAGCTGCCAGCTCCAGACTCTGCTTTGCTTTGTTCTGCATTTGAAATTTGCCCCTGACCCCAGTAGGCTCTTGTGCAACAGTCTCACCCAGGAAGTTCTGCTAAGCACTATCTGCTGCACATGGCTAGAACCTGGGTTCATCAGATCTGTCTTCAATAAGCATGATGAAGACAACACATCAAGCTGAAGGAGTGTGCTCCCCAAAGACAGAGACAGTATGCACCCCAAAGACAGAGACAGTGTGCTCCCCAAAGACTGAGACAGTGTGCTCCCCAAAGACTGAGACAGTGTGCTCCCCAAAGACTGAGACAGTGTGCTCCCCAAAGACTGAGACAGTGTGTGCCCCAAAGACTGAGACAGTGTGCTCCCCAAAGACTGAGACAGTGTGTGCCCCAAAGACTGAGACAGTGTGCTCCCCAAAGACTGAGACAGTGTGTGCCCCAAAGACTGAGACAGTGTGCTCCCCAAAGACTGAGACAGTGTGTGCCCCAAAGACTGAGACAGTGTGCTCCCCAAAGACTGAGACAGTGTGTGCCCCAAAGACTGAGACAGTGTGCTCCCCAAAGACTGAGACAGTGTGTGCCCCAAAGACTGAGACAGTGTGCTCCCCAAAGACAGAGACAGTGTGCGCCCCAAAGACAGAGACAGTGTGCTCCCCAAAGACTGAGACAG